ATTACATCCTGGCATTTTATGAAGAATCACATTTTCAGCTTAATAATGTTCACTGTCAGTTTAAAGTGGCATGGTTGTGTGTATAATTGTGCATAGTTTTTTCTTTTTTCTTTCCATAGTAAAGTACCTTGGACTCGCTGTTCAGGGAAAGAAATGCCAAGTCTTGGCTTGATGATAGCATCTACACGTCCTGAGGCAGGGGTCGGGATAAAATAGGCTTTACTCAGCACCAATTTAATCCTGCTAAGAGCTGCTGTCTAGCAGCATTTCCATCTCTCATGGGAAATGGCCTCAGGAGAAGGTCGATACGCCGAAGAAACGTTGACCTTATTATTAAAATGGTTACCTTTCATTAAATGGGTTGATCAGGGCAAATAACATTTTTTTTCCTCCAACTTTTATCTAAAGTACATTTGGTGATTTCAACTGCAAGGTATGGTAAATAATTGCTTATTATAGTAGCTTAGCATTTTGTAAAATGTTAGTAGTCATTGTGTACATTTAGGTGGTTAATATTAATATTTAATATTTGTAATTGCCCTTTACCAATTAGTAATTCTCTGCAAATGCAGCTCCCCATGGCCGCTGCTTCCATTTTCAAATGTGTAGCCTGGGTTATTAGTCACTTTCTGCAGCATTTGTGGATCATTTCTTTCCTCTGTGGCTCTAATTAGGTCTCATTAGGGGATCCAACCAAAAGTCTCGATGACAGTGTTAAGAAGCTGATAAGAAGCTAAATATAACTTTTGTGCTATTTAATCAATGCATTGATCTACCTTTCATAATGAACGCCTGAAATATACAGCCTCCAGGAGCCTGTACTTGGCACAACCAGTCTACTCTGCCTATGAAAATAAAATCCACATGGATTACAGGTGTTTCATTAGGAAACCCATAAATATTAATAAATTAATTTCACACGTTTTTAACCTGAGTTAGCAAACTGGCTGTCTCTTGTGTAAAATAATCGCTGATGCATGTGAGGTTCATTAAACCCCAAAGTAATCCCTACAATTTAATCCACCTGCCCGGGCAAAGCATACTAACCAAATTAGCAAAAGAGTGTTTTTTTGTGCAGCACTCTTCATTCTATCCAAACCTAAAGGAAGTGTAAATCGACCCTTTTTTTATTTCGTACCTGGAAAAAAAGTAACTATCCAATAATATACTCAAGAGTAAAAAGGTATTCGGTTAAAAATCTATTCAGGTACTGAGTAACAGATCTACTTACATGATAACATAATATCTGATTTAATATTTTCAAAGCAATGTTCAGTTACACCACATACATGCTGCAGCACTATCTCCACCTAAAAAAGGAATAGTTTCAATACTTGTGATCAAAGCACTGATGAATCATTGGAGCACTTTTACCACACCACCATTCAAAATAAAGAGCAATCAGCTGAATCTCTTCCCCCCCGCATGTGTTCCCCTGCACAACTGCTTGCAGAGAAGATGGTGGAAAAGCTTCCATGACTGGTCACAATAAAGACTATTTTTCATGGGGAGAAAACAAGAGAAGTATTCATCAGCCAAACAAAGGAGGATAAAAAGATAAGGCAGGGGCAATTAAAACAAACTAGAACTAGTACACTAAGTCAAAAAAAGTCAAGTTTGAGAAACTGCCAAACAATTATTTGTAAAAACGTAGCCAAATTAAACCAATCTGTAATTAAATTACCAACAAGATTTATTGTCTGAAAGGGATTCTTACGATTTTAGAGCACAAATTCAATTCAAGGTGTCTTATTGTCAACCGAAATGGAAAGTCATTCCATAAGAAAAATCACTTTTTTTAATTATTTATTAGAATGTTCACACCAATGATATGGGTATCTATCATAATTCCTTTTCTTTTTTTGTTTTAAATAGCTTTGGGCCCTAGGCAAACATTTAAAACATCGAACAGGTTTGCGTAAAGGTTAGATGGAAATATAAACTACGGTATGTACTATGTAGATGTAGAAAACAACATTTAGACAAAGAGCTCTGTAAAATGTAGAAGAGTAGTAGAATTAGTATTGCTACAAAATCTGTAGAGCTCTTTAAAATAGTCAATTTGGGTTAGAAGATGCTAGTTTCTAAATTTGGCTTTTTAAACCACTTGTGAACCTGGAATAAATTAACCTCTAGTAAATACTAGCAAAATTTATTTATACATAGTATTGGTAAATATTATTCATAAACCAAACAACAAGAATGTCTTTACATAAATAATCTGTTAACTCTAGATAAGCAATTTAGCACTGGTGCTTAGCAGATCACTGATAAAAAAAAAATTACCACAAAAATCTAAACTTTATAAAGGCAGACCTTTTTCTAGACAAATAATCTTTCTTTTTTTTTTTTTGCTTCTTCTTTCTATTCTGTGTTACCTGAAGATAAGAATATGGGCTTCTGTGTGGAAGTGAATCTCTAAGTACCTGGAACCAAGCAACTGTAGTTGTTTGTGAGAGTGCACTTGAAGAGGCGCCCCCCCAGAGCACCGAGTCCAGAGCTGGGAGACCTGAAGCCCCAGACGCCCAAAGGGACCCCAAGAGCAAAGGCGCCCAGGAGGGGCCAACCAAGGAAATCCGACCCCCCACTAAGGGAGGAGGAGAGACGACCCCAAGCAAATCCCCCAGCCACCGCAATGCTCCACCGGCAGCCAGCCACCCCGAAGTGAATCCGGCCATGGGCCCCAGGGATCCGAGGCCCCAGGGGCAGGTGTAATCAAAACTGGGAGTACCAAAAAGGGGGTGTCCGGCACAGTCCAACCCCCTTCCAGAAGACAGGCAGTTCCAGCGCCCCCCCCTATCGACAACCCAGAACCCTCAATGTCTAAATGGTGAGAGGTGGTGGGGGGAGCCAACCAAGGTGAGGGCCACGAAATAACTGAATATAACAGTTATTCACAACATTATTATGCCGTCCAACTGGATGGACATTGAACATAAATTCACAACACTCCTTTTCCCGCTGGCCCTCTTGTGTTCCTTGTTTCTTCTTCTCAGCAGTCCTTAGCTCCAAGTTTTTGAATGTCATTTGTGATACAAATCTTCACCTTCTACAATTGCTGCCTGCTCCGCTCTGAATTTGGGTCCTCTCAACAAGCACTAGGTGTAATAAATAAGTTATCTGGGCTATGTGCTCGGATAGACAGCCAACAGTCAGCTGCTTGACAGATGTACTTTTCAAAGCCTGCCAATTATATTTTTCCAAAGGGCATTACCGAGGATAGAGATTTGTTTACCTTATTTAGTCTCAATTCCATGGAAAGTATTTCTAAATAGCCAAAGTTGTCGACCTTTCAAAGAAGCAAAATGTAAAGGGGGCTTCTCTAAGCAAGTTAACAGGCAATTATTAGACACGGATGTGAAAGGGGAAATGCTATGCTGAGTGGTATATACAGCTAGAGAAATCCCTGGTACTTGGTCTAATACTTTATTAAAATGATTTGAAACTGTAGGGATAGTATAATGTGAATTTGATTGTCATTTTGAGAAAAGCCTTTATAAAACAATCGTATATCATGATACTGGTTAAAACACTGCTTAAAGTAGCATAATGGATTTTTTTAAAAACCTCCTTTTCCTAATGAACACATGAACTTTATACATGTCACATGATTTATGTGTCTTATCTCATGCAATGTTAAACCTAACAGGAAACGTGCATTTTCAGTAGATCTGTTACGTGTGACACAGAAGGTTGCAGATTTCACCTGTGAGAGTTGGAGGATTTATATTTATCCCTTCAAAGACATCTCTCTAATGACAATATAATCCCCTTAGAGGGAGCATTAACTATGATCAAGGAAAAAGGGTTGGCATGCAAATTTCCCTGTGTTATGCCACTGCTGAGTGCATCTGATCAGAAACTATAACTACCTGAGCTCATGTTTTTACCACTAGTTTTTTGTTTTTTTACAAAAAAAGAGAAGAGGAAAATACTAACACATTTAAAGACATATTTTTTTTAGAGAATGAGAGAGAGATCCAGGAGGTATTATTAGAAATATTTAGTCTCCAAAGAAGACAAATTAACAGAAAAATCTATTCAGCATTTGTGGTATTTGTCTTACTAGATGTTTTGAGATCTTTACGGCAGTTTGTAGGCTATGTGTGTATTTGTTCAACAGTAAAAATCAGTTTGGACCAATTAACACATTCTGTTTTGTAAAAAAATGTTTGTTTCTATGTGAGTCTCTTTGGCTTAATATAACGATTAATTCTAATATTCTTCATTTAAAGAGCCAGAGGTCTTTTTTGATGGAAAGGTTTGTATGTCTAATGATGGAAAACACAAATTGGACACAAAAAGTAACGAAGTGAAGGGAATATAAATATTGAGAATCCAGGTATGCATATTTACAAAGTACTAACAACAATAAAACCTACAAAGATATCAGCATTTAACTAAATATCTAATAGACTGTCAATAAAACCTCGACTCTCTGAATGTAAGTGCTGTTTAATCCATTATATTGATTAACACTGACTCACTACAAGATTGGTTACATTGCTGCCTCTTGAGTAAGAGTTTAGAGAAGCTCTCAGTCAGTCTCTATCTAAAAGTAAGAAGAATTTTTCTCTGTTGTTAAGTAGTGTTTAAAGTTTAGTTTTAAATGTTTGCTTTGATAATGCGTTGCTATACATTGGTGAGTCTGTGAAACTTACAGGTACAATGAAAGACAAAGATTACATTTGTACGTTGGTACCTTTTACACTGAGGGGAGAAGGTGAAGGCAAGCTATTGATCTCCTGTGCTCATCGCCAGAGTATTTAATCGTATTTTTGAAATGACATGAATGTGAATGACATGGTCTGGTTAAAGCGCTCCGTCAACCCATCTGTTTGGGGATGGTATGGGGTGGTCCTCACACTCCTTATCCCCAATAATTTATACACCTGTTTCAGTAAAACAGACATGAAATTAGACCCTTGATCTGTGAGAATTTCACGAGGAAACCCCACTCTTGAAAAGAACTGTATCAGAGAGAAGGCTACAGCTTTTGCCTTCATTGTCTTCAGTGGAAAGACTTCAGGGTATCTGGTTGCGTAATCTGTGATCACCAACATATACCGATAGCCTGAACGGCTCTTTTCCAGGGGGCCGACAATGTCCATTCCGAGACGTTCAAATGGCGTGCCTATCACAGGCAGGGGCTGAAGTGGAACTTTAGAGGGGCCTTTAATTGAAGTTTTTTGACACTGGGGGCAGCTCTTACAGAATTTTGCAACATCTGAATGCAGGCCAGGCCAGTGAAAGTGACGTTTAATACGACTAGTGGTCTTGCATTTCCCTAGGTGGCCAGCCCAGGGAATTGAATGGCCCAGATTTAGTACAACCTCTCGGGCCTCTTGAGGGACCACTAGGCGTTTAGCCTGACCGCACTGATGGTAAAGTATGCCGTTCTGTAAAAAATACCCCTCTTTGCTGTTGCAAAGCTCACCCTCAGGATTCCTCTGCTTAGCTTGTAACAAAGTGATTGACAATGTTGGGTCATTCTGCTGCATTTGAATGATGTTTGTGGGCATCTGAAATCCCAATGGTACATCAGGGGTAGCATCTGCAGGCACCTTTATAACAGTACCTCTGAACTTCTCCTGCTTTCTTTGACTCCTTGATTTCTTAGATCTCCCGGGTTCAGATTCTAAGTCAGCATCAAAGAAAGGTAAGGTACTCAAACTTGGAAGGTGCTCATTAATTTCTTTAGCTTTAGCCCTTGTAATAGCCAAATTACAGTCCTTTGATTGTTTTAACAGATCATAGAGCACTGGCAGGTCTTCTCCCAAAACTACAGGGAATGGCAAGTTATCAGCCACACCTACATTCAGTAGATATGCTTGTCCTTCTACTTCAATAAAAATGTCAGCAGTAGGGTAAGACCTCTCTTCACCATGCACACAACAGATTGAGATGGTCCCATAAGGACATATACCACTTGGTACAAACTGTCTGTGAACCAAAGTCTGATTACTGCCAGTATCTATCAATGCTTTAAGTCTTCTTCCATTGATTATTACTGTGGTAGTTTTCATTAAAGATTGCCTCTCTTGTTTTATATCTGGGCTTTTGCATGGCACAAAGCACATCTGGGTCAGTTTTAAAGGATTTTGTGGGCACATGGGTTTAATGTGTCCTTCCATCCCACAAAGATAACAAACAGGGATTTTTCTAACAAGTTTATTAGGAGCATTGGCAGGCTGCTCAGTTCTTGAGATTTTACTCACACCTGTTGCTGAACCCTGGTGGTGCCGAGATGGTGCTGGCTTGCCGGTGTTCTTCTCTTTAAATGAGGCAATACTCCATGGCTGGCCCTTCCCACGAGCAGCCACAAACACATCTGCAAGGCTGGAGGCTTCTGCAGCTGATTTTGGATCATGCTCTTTTATCCACACCTGGAGCTCAGGGGACAACATTCTGAGATATTGTTCCAAAATTAACATTTCACCAACTTCTTCCACTGTTTTACCTCTGGGTAGAATCCATTTTCCATACAGTTCTTTCAGCCTCACATAAAGTTCTTTAGGGCTCTCATCAGGATGAACATACAGGGAACGAAACCTTTGTCTATAGGTTTCAGGATTCACATCATACTTATTTAAAATTGCTGTTTTCACATTTTCATAATCCTGTGTCTCATCAACATCCATATGAACATAGGCACTCCTTGCCTTACCAGTCAGTAGAGGAATGAGGCGGAAGACCCAGTCTGCTTTTGGCCATCTACAGGCAGCGGCAATTCTCTCAAATGTAACAAGGAAATGTTCAATATCATCTTCATTTGTCAATTTCTGTAACTTTGGCTCAAGAGAGAATTGTGACTGACCTGGAGATATTCGGATTGTTGCATTCCTGACTTCATCGTCATCCTCTTGGGGTTCTGCATCACTTGAAGAGGGCTCAGGGAGTGGAGACGTGCGGGCCTGCACTTCCATTTGTAGAAGCTGAAACTGATGTTGTAAGGCTTTAAAACGATGTTCCTGTTTTTCACGCTCTTTGGTTAACTTTTCCTCCCGTGCCTCCTGCTGAACCATGAATGCCTGCAAGATCCCAGTCAGGTCCTTCAGTGTTGGTTCTCTGACATCTTCACCCCCAGTGTCTGCTGCCATTGTAGAAGCTCCAGCCTCCATTTCCTCTTCTCCACCACATGGTTCCTCTGCTGGTTGGGTCTCCAATTTCTGTTTCCTGGCTCCACGGTGCATCTTCAGACAGGGAAAATCACCATGAGTCAAAGAAAGAAAGAAAAAAATTTTGAGAAGAAAAAAATATATAACTGTCAAAAATATTCAAATCCACCCAAAAACTGTGTCCTCAACTGGCAGATCCCACTTCTGACACCATGTGTGAAGGACCGAGCCAGCCAAGCATGAGGACACAGTGGTGAATGTCAAAAAACTGGGTTTTATTTCCCCAAAGTAGCAATAATCCAAACAAAAAATTCAGGGCCCTTAAAAGAGGTCAAATGAAGAAATTAACTAAGGGCAAAAAAGTTTTAAGTTCAAACATATGAAACCTCAAACTAACTGAACAAACAAAAAACTGACCTGACACACAGTAAACAAAGGGGACTTAAATACTGGCTGATCAGGCCAGACTGGCACACTGAGGAAGAGGTAGGGAGAACATTTACAACAAATTAACAAAAAATAACTAAACAGTTAGCTTAAGGATTAAACTTACATAACAATCAATATACAAATTAACAAAATGAGCAAATCACAAAAGTAAGAAGAAGAAATTATGCAACATATTTTAAAATGTGGAGTCCATGGTCTTCCCCCATAGTGGAACTCTAGATGGTACCACCCAATCAGTCCATGATGTCAGCCACATTCCCCCAGTTGATTGCACTCCCACAGCACCAGAAAAGAAAGCAGAAAATATATTAAGCATTTGACAAAATTAAACAAAAGTTAACCAAATGTGCGCGCTACAATTGGAATTAATGTCTTCAAAATTGTCAAAAACAAACCAATATATTTATGCTACTCTGATTTAAAAAAAACTTATGAAAAAGTGGTGTTGTGTGGGGTTACTGACCATGTGACCATCACACACCCCCCCCCTCTTCGAAGCTGTCACTTTTTCTTTCCCAGGGATGTGCTGGACTTCAAAGTGATATGGCTGTAAAGCCAAGTACCACCAGGTTATCCTTCCATTTGTGTCCTTCATGCGGTTTAGCCATTGAAGTGCCTTGTGGTCGGTCTGCAAAATAAACTTCCTTCCAAGAAGGTAGTACTTGCAGGAATCAAGTGCCCATTTGATAGCCAAAGCTTCCTTCTCCACTGTGGCATAGCGCTCTTCCCGGGGTAGCAGTTTACGACTGATGTAAGCTATAGGATGCTGGTCCCCTGGTGATCCCTGTAGAAGTACTGCCCCAACACCCCTTTCAGAAGCATCTGTTTGCAGTACAAAATCCTTTTCAAAATCAGGACTATGAAGAACTGGATTCTCACTCAGAGATTGCTGGATGTCTTGAAAAGCAGCAACCGCTTTTGGATTCCACTGAACTTGATTTGGGCACCGTGAACTCGTCAAATCCGTCAAGGCAGCCGCTCTAGCTGAGAAGTTTGCAATAAAGCGATTGTAGAAGCCGGCCATCCCAAGGAAGGATCTGAGCTGCTTTTTGGTCTGTGGAAGAGGAGCAGATGCAATAACTCTGACTTTATCCACTTGTGACTTTATAACCCCACCTCCAACTGTGAAACCAAGGTACTGCGTCTCCATTTTGGCCAGGGAACACTTTGCTGGGTTGACTGTGAGACCAGCCATCTTCAGTCTGTCCAGAACTGTCCTCAGATGTTTCAGGTGTTCTTCCCAGGTTCCACTGTAAATGACAATGTCATCAAGATAAGCACTGGCATAATCAGCTAGACCATACAGTACCTGGTCCATCAGTCTTTGGAAAGTGGCAGGTGCTCCATGAAGACCAAACGGCAGAACTGTGAACTCAAACAGCCCCCAGGATGTGCGGAAAGCTGTTAACTCCCTTGAACCTTCACTGAGAACAACCTGCCAATAGCCCTTAGAAAGGTCAATAGTGGATAAATATTTAGCTTTCCCCAGACGCTCTATAAGTATGAATCAAACTTTGAAACAGAGTTCAGATACCTGAAGTCAATACAGAACCTTATGGTGCCATCCTTTTTGGGAACCAACACAACTGGATTGCACCATTCACTTTTTGAGGGCTGAATGATTCCCAGGGACAACATGAGGTCCACTTCTTTCTTCAAAGCTCCCAAGAGACGTTCAGGTACCCTGTAACTCATACGTCTAACTGACACATTTTCTTTCAGCACAATATTATGTTCAACCAAATTTGTGCGGCCTGGATATTCTTTGAAAACATCTGAGGTAATAACAGTTTTTACCTCATGGCGTTGATCATCTGTCAGATGGCCCAGATCCACAATGGAGGCAGACTGAGATGGCAAGTATTGCTCCGTTTCTTCATCTTCTCCAACATGCTGGATGAACAGGACATCTGTTCCTTTTTCAGTCCGTGGGACCCACTCTTTAAGCAGATTTACATGCAGAACTCTGCTAGATCGCTGGAGCCCTGGGGTGGCAACTCGGTAGGTTGTAGGGCCTAATTTCTTCTGCACCTCAAAGGGACCTTGCCACTTTGCTAGTAGCTTACTATCATTTGTAGGCAACATTATCAGAACCTTTTGACCTGGTTGAAAAATTCTCTCTCTTGTTGAACGATCATACCAGGCCTTTTGGAACCTCTGTGCAACTTCCAAATGGTTCTTAGCCAATTTGCTCATTTTTTCCAGTTTCTCCCTCATCTGTAGAACATAGGAAACAACATTAACCGGCTCCTTCCCCATCTGGGTCCCTTCCCACATTTCCTTTAATAGGGTAAGAGGGCCCCTGACCTCATGACCATATAGGAGTTCAAAAGGAGAGAACCCAGTGGAGGCCTGGGGAACTTCCCTATATGCAAAAAGGAGGTAAGGCAACCACTGATCCCAGTCAGAGCCCGTTTCATCCACAAACTTACGGAGCATCTGCTTCAGGGTCTGGTTAAAGCGCTCCGTCAACCCATCTGTTTGGGGATGGTATGGGGTGGTCCTCACACTCCTTATCCCCAATAATTTATACACCTGTTTCAGTAAAACAGACATGAAATTAGACCCTTGATCTGTGAGAATTTCACGAGGAAACCCCACTCTTGAAAAGAACTGTATCAGAGAGAAGGCTACAGCTTTTGCCCTCATTGTCTTCAGTGGAAAGACTTCAGGGTATCTGGTTGCGTAATCTGTGATCACCAACATATACCGATAGCCTGAACGGCTCTTTTCCAGGGGGCCGACAATGTCCATTCCGAGACGTTCAAATGGCGTGCCTATCACAGGCAGGGGCTGAAGTGGAACTTTAGAGGGGCCTTTAATTGAAGTTTTTTGACACTGGGGGCAGCTCTTACAGAATTTTGCAACATCTGAATGCAGGCCAGGCCAGTGAAAGTGACGTTTAATACGACTAGTGGTCTTGCATTTCCCTAGGTGGCCAGCCCAGGGAATTGAATGGCCCAGATTTAGTACAACCTCTCGGGCCTCTTGAGGGACCACTAGGCGTTTAGCCTGACCGCACTGATGGTAAAGTATGCCGTTCTGTAAAAAATACCCCTCTTTGCTGTTGTAAAGCTCACCCTCAGAATTCCTCTGCTTAGCTTGTAACAAAGTGATTGACAATGTTGGGTCATTCTGCTGCATTTGAATGATGTTTGTGGGCATCTGAAATCCCAATGGTACATCAGGGGTAGCATCTGCAGGCACCTTTATAACAGTACCTCTGAACTTCTCCTGCTTTCTTTGACTCCTTGATTTCTTAGATCTCCCGGGTTCAGATTCTAAGTCAGCATCAAAGAAAGGTAAGGTACTCAAACTTGGAAGGTGCTCATTAATTTCTTTAGCTTTAGCCCTTGTAATAGCCAAATTACAGTCCTTTGATTGTTTTAACAGATCATAGAGCACTGGCAGGTCTTCTCCCAAAACTACAGGGAATGGCAAGTTATCAGCCACACCTACATTCAGTAGATATGCTTGTCCTTCTACTTCAATAAAAATGTCAGCAGTAGGGTAAGACCTCTCTTCACCATGCACACAACAGATTGAGATGGTCCCATAAGGACATATACCACTTGGTACAAACTGTCTGTGAACCAAAGTCTGATTACTGCCAGTATCTATCAATGCTTTAAGTCTTCTTCCATTGATTATTACTGTGGTAGTTTTCATTAAAGATTGCCTCTCTTGTTTTATATCTGGGCTTTTGCATGGCACAAAGCACATCTGGGTCAGTTATAAAGGATTTTGTGGGCACATGGGTTTAATGTGTCCTTCCATCCCACTTCTGACACCATGTGTGAAGGACCGAGCCAGCCAAGCATGAGGACACAGTGGTGAATGTCAAAAAACTGGGTTTTATTTCCCCAAAGTAGCAATAATCCAAACAAAAAATTCAGGGCCCTTAAAAGAGGTCAAATGAAGAAATTAACTAAGGGCAAAAAAGTTTTAAGTTCAAACATATGAAACCTCAAACTAACTGAACAAACAAAAAACTGACCTGACACACAGCAAACAAAGGGGACTTAAATACTGGCTGATCAGACCAGACTGGCACACTGAGGAAGAGGTAGGGAGAACATCTACAACAAATTAACAAAAAATAACTAAACAGTTAGCTTAAGGATTAAACTTACATAACAATCAATATACAAATTAACAAAATGAGCAAATCACAAAAGTAAGAAGAAGAAATTATGCAACATATTTTAAAATGTGGAGTCCATGGTCTTCCCCCATAGTGGAACTCTAGATGGTACCACCCAATCAGTCCATGATGTCAGCCACATTCCCCCAGTTGATTGCACTCCCACAGCACCAGAAAAGAAAGCAGAAAATATATTAAGCATTTGACAAAATTAAACAAAAGTTAACCAAATGTGCGCGCTACAATTGGAACTAATGTCTTCAAAATTGTCAAAAACAAACCAATATATTTATGCTACTCTGATTTAAAAAAAAACTTATGAAAAAGTGGTGTTGTGTGGGGTTACTGACCATGTGACCATCACACACCCCCCCTTCGAAACTGTCACTAGGACAGCGAGAGAGAAAGTCAGCCGTCACATTTTCTTTCCCAGGGATGTGCTGGACTTCAAAGTGATATGGCTGTAAAGCCAAGTACCACCGGGTTATCCTTCCATTTGTGTCCTTCATGCGGTTTAGCCATTGAAGTGCCTTGTGGTCGGTCTGCAGAATAAACTTCCTTCCAAGAAGGTAGTACTTGAAGGAATCAAGTGCCCATTTGATAGCCAAAGCTTCCTTCTCCACTGTGGCATAGCGCTCTTCCCGGGTTAGCAGTTTACGACTGATGTAAGCTATAGGATGCTGGTCCCCTGGTGATCCCTGTAGAAGTACTGCCCCAACACCCCTTTCAGAAGCATCTGTTTGCAGTACAAAATCCTTTTCAAAATCAGGACTATGAAGAACTGGATTCTCACTCAGAGATTGCTGGATGTCTTGAAAAGCAGCAACCGCTTTTGGATTCCACTGAACTTGATTTGGGCACCGTCAACTCGTCAAATCCGTCAAGGCAGCCGCTCTAGCTGAGAAGTTTGCAATAAAGCGATTGTAGAAGCCGGCCATCCCAAGGAAGGATCTGAGCTGCTTTTTGGTCTGTGGAAGAGGAGCAGATGCAATAACTCTGACTTTATCCACTTGTGGCTTTATAACCCCACCTCCAACTGTGAAACCAAGGTACTGCGTCTCCATTTTGGCCAGGGAACACTTTGCTGGGTTGACTGTGAGACCAGCCATCTTCAGTCTGTCCAGAACTGTCCTCAGATGTTTCAGGTGTTCTTCCCAGGTTCCACTGTAAATGACAATGTCATCAAGATAAGCACTGGCATAATCAGCTAGACCATACAGTACCTGGTCCATCAGTCTTTGGAAAGTGGCAGGTGCTCCATGAAGACCAAACGGCAGAACTGTGAACTCAAACAGCCCCCAGGATGTGCGGAAAGCTGTTAACTCCCTTGAACCTTCACTGAGAACAACCTGCCAATAGCCCTTAGAAAGGTCAATAGTGGATAAATATTTAGCTTTCCCCAGACGCTCTATAAGTTCATCCACTCGGGGTGTTGGGTATGAATCAAACTTTGAAACAGAGTTCAGATACCTGAAGTCAATACAGAACCTTATGGTGCCATCCTTTTTGGGAACCAACACAACTGGATTGCACCATTCACTTTTTGAGGGCTGAATGATTCCCAGGGACAACATGAGGTCCACTTCTTTCTTCAAAGCTCCCAAGAGACGTTCAGGTACCCTGTAACTCATACGTCTAACTGACGCATTTTCTTTCAGCACAATATTATGTTCAACCAAATTTGTGCGGCCTGGATATTCTTTGAAAACATCTGAGGTAATAACAGTTTTTACCTCATGGCGTTGATCATCTGTCAGATGGCCCAGATCCACAATGGAGGCAGACTGAGATGGCAAGTATTGCTCCGTTTCTTCATCTTCTCCAACATGCTGGATGAACAGGACATCTGTTCCTTTTTCAGTCCGTGGGACCCACTCTTTAAGCAGATTTACATGCAGAACTCTGCTAGATCGCTGGAGCCCTGGGGTGGCAACTCGGTAGGTTGTAGGGCCTAATTTCTTCTGCACCTCAAAGGGACCTTGCCACTTTGCTAGGAGCTTACTATCATTTGTAGGCAACATTATCAGAACCTTTTGACCTGGTTGAAAAATTCTCTCTCTTGTTGAACGATCATACCAGGCCTTTTGGAACCTCTGTGCAACTTCCAAATGGTTCTTAGCCAATTTGCTCATTTTTTCCAGTTTCTCCCTCATCTGTAGAACATAGGAAACAACATTAACCGGCTCCTTCCCCATCTGGGTCCCTTCCCACATTTCCTTTAATAGGGTAAGAGGGCCCCTGACCTCATGACCATATAGGAGTTCAAAAGGAGAGAACCCAGTGGAGGCCTGGGGAACTTCCCTATATGCAAAAAGGAGGTAAGGCAACCACTGATCCCAGTCAGAGCCCGTTTCATCCACAAACTTACGGAGCATCTGCTTCAGGGTCTGGTTAAAGCGCTCCGTCAACCCATCTGTTTGGGGATGGTATGGGGTGGTCCTCACACTCCTTATCCCCAATAATTTATACACCTGTTTCAGTAAAACAGACATGAAATTAGACCCTTGATCTGTGAGAATTTCACGAGGAAACCCCACTCTTGAAAAGAACTGTATCAGAGAGAAGGCTACAGCTTTTGCCCTCATTGTCTTCAGTGGAAAGACTTCAGGGTATCTGGTTGCGTAATCTGTGATCACCAACATATACCGATAGCCTGAACGGCTCTTTTCCAGGGGGCCGACAATGTCCATTCCGAGACGTTCAAATGGCGTGCCTATCACAGGCAGGGGCTGAAGTGGAACTTTAGAGGGGCCTTTAATTGAAGTTTTTTGACACTGGGGGCAGCTCTTACAGAATTTTGCAACATCTGAATGCAGGCCAGGCCAGTGAAAGTGACGTTTAATACGACTAGTGGTCTTGCATTTCCCTAGGTGGCCAGCCCAGGGAATTGAATGGCCCAGATTTAGTACAACCTCTCGGGCCTCTTGAGGGACCACTAGGCGTTTAGCCTGACCGCACTGATGGTAAAGTATGCCGTTCTGTAAAAAATACCCCTCTTTGCTGTTGCAAAGCTCACCCTCAGAATTCCTCTGCTTAGCTTGTGACAAAGTGATTGACAATGTTGGGTCATTCTGCTGCATTTGAATGATGTTTGTGGGCATCTGAAATCCCAATGGTACATCAGGGGTAGCATCTGCAGGCACCTTTATAACAGTACCTCTGAACTTCTCCTGCTTTCTTTGACTCCTTGATTTCTTAGATCTCCCGGGTTCAGATTCTAAGTCAGCATCAAAGAAAGGTAAGGTACTCAAACTTGGAAGGTGCTCATTAATTTCTTTAGCTTTAGCCCTTGTAATAGCCAAATTACAGTCCTTTGATTGTTTTAACAGATCATAGAGCACTGGCAGGTCTTCTCCCAAAACTACAGGGAATGGCAAGTTATCAGCCACACCTACATTCAGTAGATATGCTTGTCCTTCTACTTCAATAAAAATGTCAGCAGTAGGGTAAGACCTCTCTTCACCATGCACACAACAGATTGAGATGGTCCCATAAGGACATATACCACTTGGTACAAACTGTCTGTGAACCAAAGTCTGATTACTGCCAGTATCTATCAATGCTTTAAGTCTTCTTCCATTGATTATTACTGTGGTAGTTTTCATTAAAGATTGCCTCTCTTGTTTTATATCTGGGCTTTTGCATGGCACAAAGCACATCTGGGTCAGTTTTAAAGGATTTTGTGGGCACATGGGTTTAATGTGTCCTTCCATCCCACAAAGATAACAAACAGGGATTTTTCTAACAAGTTTATTAGGAGCATTGGCAGGCTGCTCAGTTCTTGAGATTTTACTCACACCTGTTGCTGAACCCTGGTGGTGCCGAGATGGTGCTGGCTTGCCGGTGTTCTTCTCTTTAAATGAGGCAATACTCCATGGCTGGCCCTTCCCACGAGCAGCCACAAACACATCTGCAAGGCTGGAGGCTTCTGCAGCTGATTTTGGATCATGCTCTTTTATCCACACCTGGAGCTCAGGGGACAACATTCTGAGATATTGTTCCAAAATTAACATTTCACCAACTTCTTCCACTGTTTTACCTCTGGGTAGAATCCATTTTCCATACAGTTCTTTCAGCCTCACATAAAGTTCTTTAGGGCTCTCATCAGGATGAACATACAGGGAACGAAACCTTTGTCTATAGGTGTCAGGATTCACATCATACTTATTTAAAATGGCTGTTTTCACATTTTCATAATCCTGTGTCTCATCAACATCCATATGAACATAGGCACTCCTTGCCTTACCAGTCAGTAGAGGAATGAGGCGGAAGACCCAGTCTGCTTTTGGCCATCTACAGGCAGCAGCAATTCTCTCAAATGTAACAAGGAAATGTTCAATATCATCTTCACTTGTCAATTTCTGTAACTTTGGCTCAAGAGAGAATTGTGACTGACCTGGAGATATTTGGATTGTTGCATTCCTGACTTCATCGTCATCCTCTTGGGGTTCTGCATCACTTGAAGAGGGCTCAGGGAGTGGAGACGTGCGGGCCTGCACTTCCATTTGTAGAAGCTGAAACTGATGTTGTAAGGCTTTAAAACGATGTTCCTGTTTTTCACGCTCTTTGGTTAACTTTTC